TCAAGTTTTACATTCATTATAGTTTTTGTCTGTATGGTTAAAGTATACGTCCCTTTCCCCAAGTCAAAAAATGTAGCTAGTTCAATAAAAATGTATGTCGTTGGTTTGAGACAGTGACAAGAGTGGGCTTATGTAAATGATTGATTGTTGTCGATTATTTACACTTTAAACCAAGGAACAATGGAGGTAAGACTTATAGTAAAATATACTGTTGCTCTTTTACAAAACAAAACCATCATTATTTCAATCACTAAGAGAGAAACTGGTATTAGGATGATATATCCCCCTAGGATGCTCTATGGGGTCCTTTAACTGTGTTCGATTTGAATTACAAAAATTGATTTAAATATGCTGATTGACATGAAAATGGTTTGTCTTCAGTATCAAAACTGTCGATTTTGGTTACTTAGGTGGACTTCCCATCTAGATGGACCAGCTGTAGGCAATTTTCCATTAGTATAGAACATAATTTGGTGACCTAATAACTGTACTCGCAAAGTCTGCTTCAGTTTAAAATTATTCCCACTAAGAGTGTTTGATGTTTTAACAAAAACAATGGTCTAGTTGACAGTTAAATTTCCTTCGGTGTTTCATCGTTTTAAATGTCCATCATCAAGAGAGAAATCAATAATTGACGGCAGCAATACTCAATCGAATTACGTTCATTTTCATTGAAAAATTGGCTGAAAACTTGAAAATGGAAATAAAAAGTCTACTGCTGCATAACAGTATATTGTCACCAACGGCATATTAAATTATGTTCTGGATGGAAATCGTCATTATTGGACTATGAGCAAATTAAAGTGGCTAAACGACTATGAATAAAAATCTCTCCATCAATCTGTTTGTTAAAAGAAAAATCTAAAATGTGTACAATAATTAATTATTGTGATGAATGCAAGAGGTCTATTTCAGAAAAGGGCCGTCACTATTTAAACTATGGAAAACCCAAAGTTTAGGTCAGTTTGTAGCTTAACTCACAGGCTTTTCAATACCAGGTTCTCATTTGAAAACGATTTAATTGTGCAAACAACTTTAAACAGTGGTGGCCCTCTTTTGAAAAATACACAATGCAAGATTTCCTGTTATGTTCTACTTGAGTATATTTACACTTGAAGCCTTCGCAAGGCTTGTGTACTTGTGTAGGACCGCCTACAGTAGAAGTGAAGAACGAAGAGCTAACTTACACATTGACAGGGTCATCAGCTAACTAGCCTTCGACAGTTTCCTTACATTGACATGTCACATCTACAACACATGTGGACGAATAATGTCTATAAAGAACACCAGGGAAGTTGTTTTATTTGATTTATAACCTAAAGACCTTATAATCTTATACTTTTCACTTCGAATGGAAATAGACGTATGTTACGTTACATCTGCAGCCTGATTTTGAATAATAATTGACTTAGTTGAGTTGAGCTACCTTTGTACCTTAAATTAACAAGGCTATCTAATTAAATCATCTCAAATATGACAACATGTTAGCCAAGCCAAACGTGAAGGATGGCACATCAATTAGTTATCTCAGTAAGAAATGATAAGGGAAAACATATTTGTAAACTAGAGCAAACTTTATGATGGGTTATACTGCTTTGTTCTATTAAAAGAGAACATTTTTACAACAGCTGCCTGTATAAATGGAATGTATATTTCAGTCTAATGAAGAGAAAGATTTTAATCGGAAAAATTCCAAATCAATTGTACATATTTCTCTGCTAAATATGTATGAGTTTAGGTAAAAAATAGCTAATCAAGAAAACACATGGGATTTTGCTTGTAGTAAATGTCTCACACGTTAATGCTAAAGGAACGCGTCAGGTACTTCGTTATCCAAGAAAAAATATTTGGAAGGTTTTGAATCGCTTTCCTTTAAAAGCGTTTATACACAGGTCATAGAAATGCCTTTGATTTAGATACCAATTTATAAACAGTTCATAGAATTTCCTTTGATTTAGATACCAAAAAGTATCTTTTAAATTTGGTGCATAAATTAAGAAAAACTGCATTTCCATTAGAACTACCTAGTTTAAAATCGAATAATTGGAAATACAACAGACCTTTTTTACGTTTGGCCAGTAAAGTAAAATATTTCTATGGTCTGTTTACTTCTATTACGACTGTACTTTTATAACTGTTATAATTTAACTGATTTATTCTAATTGACAAGTTTCAATTCACAGCTTATTTTATTACTCGTTATTAGCAAGTTCTCACCAAGGAGTAATAGCGATTTAATTTCCCTACTTTACTGTCCAGTATCCCGCTGGCCACAGAGAATCATTACCTTGTCTTACTTTCTCTATGGCGATGGCGTGAGAATCGTCCGTTGAAGAATTGATCGGAATTCCTTACAATTACTCTAAAATCTTGTAGAGAAACTAGCGGCGATTGTATAACTATTACGGACACGAATTGAGTTAACGCGTAAGTTTATGAGTTATTGTTGATTACGGAAATCTATTAGGATTAGAAAAATCTAAGTATTTATTTACATCCTTTTATATCAACAAACTTTTTTCTACCACAACATGAAAATGATCCCATTGCCAAACATGTACAACATGCAAAATTGCTCATTTGAGCTTCATTCATTCCCCATCGCTACATCAGCTGATTTGATTTCACTATATTGGCGTTTCTATAACACTACCCGGAAAAGCATCTATGACAGTTAAAAGCATAAATAGTCGAAATTACATGTTATTACAATTTAATCATTGTGGTAGAAAAGATCTTGTGTGTATCACAGGTATAAACCGTCATTGCCGCTCTCAAAATGTATGGCCGCACTCAGCTAAAGCTATTTTATACAGCTCTGGAGCGGCAATGACGTTCTTTCCCCTTTTAATACACTAATACATATTTCCATCAATCTCGATAGCTACAGAATTCTGAACACCCATAATATGATGACGGATTATCTTACAGTTTGGTGTTGTTGCAGTAAAAATAAACCCGTGTTAGGAAGAAAAAAGAAGTTTTTCTACCAAAGTTATGAGAATTTTACTTCAGATTAACTATGGCTCATTCAGACGACAGCTTAAATATACATTTTTTGTTATTTAGTTTTAATTCTTTACAAAAATAGTTTGTCAAACTATACAAATCCATAATTTGATCAAACTACTAAGCAGGCCAATATGACGTAGGCCAATGTGTTTTTCACAACAATAGAAAATGCTGCTTAGTTTGTAATAACATGAGATAAATTGAAATACAAAGGAAAAACACTCCAGTAAATTTACTTGTGTGAAAGGATTCTTCACACAAAAATAAACACACGTCGAACTTTCTCCGAGCACCAAAACTTGTAATTAACTTACGGTTTCTCGACTGGCTCGACAAGGAGTTTGTAGAACTCCCCGACGTTTGACAATATAATCGTGTGTTATCGTTTCAGAATGTGACGAGGGTAACGAGAGTATGGGGAGAAGAGAGTTTGTTTCAGGCCGATGTTTAATTGGTCGAGGCCGTTGCCAAGTAACGCCCCAAGATCAGAACTTGCCCTCAGGAACAACTTAACGTAAATCATTCGCCAGTCCTACAGCAAGAACCTGGCGACAACGTGGAGACTAATTCATTACGGCCGAGAATTACATGTGGTCAACAAAATATTTAAGATTCCATTGTAAAAAGTAAGTTGGTGCAATATTAGGGAGTATAAAATGTATGACCCTTGGTTAGAATATAAATTATTGATAAGATAAAATTATTACCTCATCCAACGACAGTTGTTGGTATGACTAATAGTTTATCGTTCCTTAGAACTTTCATCATCTACATTGTGGTAAACAAGCGGTCACAATCACAATAATTGAAACTTGTCATGTTGATAAAGTAGTTAAAATGGAATAAAACTGATTAAAACTGTACAGGCTAGCCAGGATAACAGTAGTCTTATCACTCCACTGCCACTGACTAAATAAAACAGACTGAATCATGACGTTTCTTCTTCTCTCCAGTGCCACCTGTATTTCAATTTGTTTTGTTCTACTTATTTTATGCGTTTTTGATTTGTAGCTTGTCAATATATGTATCAAATATAATATTTTACTGAAAAGAAGTGTGATAATTTAAAATGTTACATTAGTCGGGTTTTGTTTAGCCATGTTGAATTCTTCTTTAACATTAAGCTTAAAACATTTTCGTAATACTTCAACAATATCTATGTTCTTTTCAATATATGTAGTAGCGCGATTCCGATATTACATTGATTGGTGATATTGTGATGTTTTAGGTATGTGTTATTTAAATCTTTGTTTGAAAGATCTTCCGTTTTGCCGATGTAGTACTTTGGACAGTCGTACCTGATTTTTCATTGTTGTTTGTGGCAAAAGGTGTGGCGTGGATAAACTTTTGACGTGTGTTGTTTACAAAATGTGTGACCGTCGTTTTGTTCCTATTAAATATTTTGTTAATAGCGTTGTTGATTTTTCTATAATAATGTATTTTAATGTATTTCTTATCCAAGTATGTTCATTTTTTTTTCTTTTGTATTATAGAATCAATCATTTTGAGGTTTGTACCCGTTTACCGGCAGAGGCAGAGTTTGGCTCATAGGCAGAGTAACGGGTACAAACGGGTACAAACCTCAAAATGCTATCGATGTTTGTGAATACCCACGGGCCTCCGCCAGGGCTGGCAGTTTTAAAGAACATATCGATGTTGTTCTTTTAAAAAAGAATATCTATCAAAAACAGCTAATACCGCACAAAACACACAAATTACATCACCGGAGTTTAAGGCACAAATATGTTATACACCTATATTGCATAATGATATGTAAACTTTTTTAACTATAATTTTTTTTTCAAAATACGACGTTGACAACACGTTGGTAATTTGCCAAACTCTGCTTGTTGCAATTTTCAATCCACATGTCAAGATGTATATTAGACATTACAAAATCAGAGAACCCACCCGATGGAAAATTACAAAGAACATCAAACAACACACACACCTCACTCTCAAACACAGCTGTTCTTGTAAGTACTGACCTTAGGCAAGGCGGCGAGGCATTGTTGTTTAACATCCCAAACCAGCTGATCCTTAGGGAACTGAAGGCACTTGTGGACATTGAGCTCTGGGACATGGATGCGTACCAGGAGATATCCGTCGTCCGGACCTACCGCTGCCTCAGCGTCGTCCTCCATACTGCCTCACTTCATCTGTAACACCACAAGACACTAGGTGAGAAAACGAAGGAAGCCAGAAAAACAAGGATCTTGGGAACTGCGAGGAAAACTCGAACAGTTGAAGAAAATTGGAAGATGAGGTCTGATCCCGGTGATCGTACTGCTTCGGTTATAGGTGCGAAGAGTTCAGGGCGTTGAGGATAGTGTCCAGAAGACGAAAAAAAAGAAGTAATAAGAAGAACTAAGAATCTATAGGAAAGCGCTTTGGTTAATAAATCAATTGTGGAAGGACCGCTGACTTAGGCCAACCGTTTGCACCATGAAATAAAACTGCTAATCGATCTTTTCATAGTAAAAATTCTTCGTTAGGAGTTAAAGTTTAATAAAACCTTTGACTACATATACCTATTATTCGAATTTTACTTGTTTTGACTGGCCTTGTCATGGATATACAAATGTAGCTGGAAAGGTTTCTGTAAAAGACATCATATTTTTAGTTAGATAAACACGGTGCTAACATCTTCCAAAGTAAACACGTTGGGTGAGTAGTAACACCTGGGAGTGCTAACGCTACTCAACAGTGAAGTCCCTGCATAGTTTGAGTAATTTTAATAGGCCAAATAGTTCATATTGCAGTTTTAAATAGGCACATATGGAGTCCAATAAACAAAAAGAGAAGTTAAATTCATTAAATCATTTGTGATAAATTTACAAAGGAAAAGGAGAAATTCTAAAGTCGGATTGCAACGGTAATGAGACAGTTTGACGTAAATCCTTCACCTGAAACCGAAGCGGTTTTGATCCCTCCCAATGACGCCTCCACATAGTAAAACTAATTTTTGTAACTATAGGGGAAGATAAATGAAATCTCAAATAAACTTTCAAACTTTTCTAAGAGTACATTCCAGTATCCATGATGTGTTTCACTTAGTTGAATGTGCATACGTAAGAATGTTCCTCCCAAATCCTCAGTAAAATACAATCTTTGAACTTGATGACTTTCATTTCAATATTCTGATTGAATCCACAAAAACAATATGAAATTCTCCAACCACTATTCCTTTACATCCGCCAAAAACGTGAACTTGGATCATATCAGCAACATACTATACAATGCAGTTCGTAGTATTTTTAGAGTGATTAATGGTTAAGTGACTTTTTAAGTATAGATTGCATCGATCACATTAGAATTATATTTTACACTATGATGGTACAGTAATTGTTAATTTTTAAACTATCAGACTGGGCTGTCCAGTTATAAAATATCACGTGACAAAACATATGACAGTGGACTGCTGGTCTATTGTGACATACTGTCCTCGTTCAATAGAATCATCGCCATGTCGCTTTATCTGCTTATGTCATATTTTTGGCACGAAAGAAAATTTTATATATTGCTTAAAAGATTGATTAAACTCCGAAATAACAGTATTTAAAGGTTAGAGTGGTTAGTAAAAAAATAAACAACACAGTATTACCTAACTATTCTCTGTTGTAATTATTGTATAAATACCTTTAGTGTGAATCACAGATTTTTCTCACAAAACGTGCATTTTTTATGTTAATAGCTAATACTCGTTCAATAACCCCCGTCAAAATGTCAATGGTTAAAATCGTTAATATCTAAGAGAAACGTTGATTAAAGTGAAAGAAAATCGCGTTGTTACCTCCCATTCAGTGTGTAATTACTGAAAAAAATATTTTAAAACTATAGTGTTGATATATAAAAAAAAAACACCCCTTTAAGTCGTCATAGTGCAAGTCCTAAAAAAAATTACTTTCAAACTATAGAATAAATATATTAAAACAAAATCATCCCTTTAAGTCCTTTGACATAATATTTGTAAAAAGATTTTTAATTTGATGGTTAAACTGATAAAAAATCACAAGTGAAAAAAATTCCACAAATCTCTCATCGGGTAGAAAAATTGTTTTTCTACAAAAAATAATGGGCTATTCAAATTTGTATAAAGGTGTAAAAAGTGCATTTTGCAAAGCACAGCCAAGATTTGAACACAAGTAAACATAGGTTTCGCTCTGGTTTCTCCTTTGATACCTGAACACTTTGAACTGTCACTGTCACAGACAGTCAAAGGGACGTTGAACGGTTCTGTTTACACTTTTCGTTGACGTTCTGACTGTGGCTTTGGACAAACTTGCGATGAAACTCCCCAGAGGAAAACATATGTGTAAAATATTACGTACTCAGCTATAATTCAAGTTTCACAACATCATTTTTTAATCATCATTTACATGTAAAACCAATTCACGTATTTTCGTTACTCTGATGGAATTGATTTTCCGAAAATATATTCTCAACAAACTTAAGGCAAACCTTAGGCTCCGTGGTAACCTATTAAACATAGAGGATAAAAACAATCACTTGTACTCCGGTTTGGAGTAAATCTCAGGAAATGAGGTTTCTAGCATAGGAAAGCGTGTCCTACGAGAATCTAATTTTGGAGTTGCTCGATAAGGTAGTTGGTCTCACGGATATACCACTGTTAGGAATGTTTTAACATTATTCCACCAATAAGAACATGTCTTCCACTGTTCAACGCATGATTTATCATGTATAAAAAATAGTTCTTAAAATACCACAGAAAACGATAATTTACAACAAATTAAATCTATTCTACCAGCTTTATGAGTCGATAAATCGTGTAGTTCGCGAATTTATGATAACACAAACTAAATTTATAACACTAAATGAATTAAACGATATTTTAATGTTTTTTTAAGAATACATTCATGTTGCTGAACTGGTTTTGAAAACAGTTTAATTGTATAGAACATCTTTACAAACAGCTCCGTTCAGATGTGAAAAGAGCTCAACTCTAGAACCTGCACTTAACCTTGCAATAATTATTCACCCGGTCAATGAGAAAGTCAAGCATTCAACTGGGATGAGTCAAAAAGTGACCTTAACCTTAGAGTTCATTTGGTGTTCAAGCGTCAATGGATGTACCTTTTCATGATTTTTCTTTTTCCCTTTTAGCCTTTTCAAAGTAAGATAAACGTTTTAAGATGTTGACAGATATAGAATGTCAATCGGTATTTTTTTTAACGATGATTAGTTATAACATTATTAATTTACAATTGTATTAAATCAACCAAACTATTACAATTAATTTACCTATCTTAGTCAAAGATACCCATACTAAGCCTATAGTTAAAAAAGAACAGCCTTTATATAAAATACATTTGGAGAACAATTTGCATGTCTTCAAATGTCAATAGTTGGGAGTTCCCAGGTAAAAGTTCTTTAAAACGATTTTTTAACGATAACAAGTTATAAGAATGTTTAACTATTAACGTCACTAATATGACCAAAGCTGTTGAATTCTGAAACCGTATTCGAATAAATATCAAACACTTGGCTACATTGGAGTCTTTTACTCATGAGTACCGTAGTTAAAGAAATCCATTCATAACCGGCTTAGAGTGCCGAAATTCATTTTTATTTTTCTAAAACTCATGGTTTCATAGTTACAAAATAAGGGGAAATAACATTGCTATACCAATAAAACCTAGGGTATCGGGAATATTGTATTATTTAAAAATCACTTCACTTGGCAAAAAACCTGCCATACATTGTAGTGTGTATTGTTTATATTTAGACTTCAATCAGCAGTGGACAACTTTCCAAACGTTTTGAAGCAAGTGAACTGAATGTAATAATTTTCAGAGATATCCAACAGTATTGATACTCTGAACATAGGGAGGAGCGACATGGCTGGGTAGATTTGAATATTTTACTATCGGCCAACCTAAAACGATATTGCGTTCCAAGTTTCATTGCTACAGAACTTTCATGTGAATAAAAACATTTGTTCAGGCATATGTAGGAAAACCGAACACATGCCTACTATACATCTTTGAAATAACAAAAATGCAAAACTTTTTATCTTCAAATGCTTATACAGTATTCGAAAATTTACTAGTGTTGGATTATACTATTCTAGAGGTCGGATGGTTGGTTTATTTCAGTTTTATCTGATTACACAATTCATATTTTGACTTTTATAAGCGTCTTGTATCTAATGACTACACAATCTTTTCATAGTAAGCTAAACTTGATTTTTCATACGTATTACATTTAAGAAGTTAACAATAGTAGTTATGGATTTTTTAGCTTATTTTTTTTATTTGTCTTGTCACTAATTTGAAAGAATTTGTATTTGCAGAAGTAGGATCTTTTTACATAGCTACCACCATACAATATGTATGTAAGAATACAAAATTTAAGTTTAAAGTTATGGCTTCGACCTAACCCAACCTAAACCAACACAACCTTAAACAGCCAAATTTTAAACAGGATTTGTAGATGATAATAATAGCATTTCAACCTGAAAAAATATATAGAGGTATATAGCGAATCATCGGGACCGGTAACTTAGTGATTCAAAATCCACATAGAGCACAACTATTTAAGTAACGAAATATTTGGTTCCAAGACGACTTGTGTTACAAACAAATATTTTCAAAAATCAAAAATCTGAGAGAATATTGCCTATAATAATGACATTATTAATTTAATTACATTAATTTTTCATTATACCAAGTCATAACGGTTAAAATTGTATTGAAATATGTTTTTGTGTCACAAGTTCGAAGCTACTAATAAAATTGAAGCTTATTATACACCCAACTCAAATAAATTCAAACGAAAATACGAGAACGTTCCACCTTTATAATAATTTATACGACAAATGCCTAGTATGTTGTCAAGCTATTCATTCCTTCAACATTACTGACACCACTTCTGTGTTAATTGCGACATTACCTCGATAATTACACGGTTAAACAGCAATGTTATGTGATCTATTGTTGCCACTCTCCATACCTTGTAACTAACTTGGGTTGAATAGTTTACTGCAATCTTAATAGCATAAATATTTAAATAGCAGCATTTAATGATTAATTTGTTTTGTTTAGTGATAGAAAGTGTTGTATTCTTACTTTAAAACATATATTATTTTTTATAAGAAAGCTTGACTTTCAAATGTTTCCTTTAGGGTAGGGAATTTAAT